GGGGGTCAGCCACACCATTTGTACAATTTTAAATCCCTGCCTCCCAGGAATGCTTTTGATCAAATATGATTGATATCCAGTGCACAGTTCTACAGAAGAAGTCGTTTGTAGCAATATAGCCAAATTGCCCCCTTTTGGCCCCGCCCCTAAGCCCCCTGGGGAGTCAGCCCCACCATTTGTACAATTTTTAATCACCACCACCTAGGGATGCTTCCAGTCAAATATGGTTGATATCCACTTATTAGTTTCAGAGAAGAAGTCGCTTATAGCAATATGGGCAAATTGACCCCTTTTGGCCCCGCCCCTCAGCCCCCTGGGGGGCCAGCCCCACCATTTGTACAATTTTGAATCCCCACCACCTAGGGATGCTTCCAGTCAAATTTAGTTTAATTCCAACCAGTGGTTAAGAAGAAGTCGTTTAAAGAAATTGTTGACATACGGACGGACGGACGGACAGACGACGGACGCCACGGTATGGCATAAGCTCACCTTGGTCCTTTGGACCAGGTGAGCTAAAAATACTGTGAAACAGTGACATTTAATTTTCATGTTGTGATACATTATGACACTCCTGTGTATTGGAATATACAGGTTTTCTAATAATTGCTTTAACTGCATTGAGTAAAAGTTGTTTCTGTGCCATACTTACAAGGCTCTTCTTCAGTTTCCTGTTCTGGTTCTGTTTGTTTTTTTGATGATGTCTTGTTGAACGTGTGGGTTCTTTCTAAATATCAGCAAAAACAATAAAAAAAAAATCAGTCTTCCTAAACAATAATGATGACATAATACAGAGAAAATTTCTTTCAGCTAAATGTATTTCCTTTACTGCTGACTACACATGCTAAGTTGTTTTCTACTTTGTATGGTAACATGTTCAATAATAAACATTCCATGAATTATTATATATATAGTGATGTAAAATCAGTTTCAGTCAGACAAGTATCAATTGCTGCATTTATATATGCATAACATTTTATAACTATTAAATACATGTACTGTAAAAGTGGAAATTTTCACATGTGGACATTTTTCAATGAATAGATATTACAAGCAAATTTTATGCAGTTTTTTTCTCTTTTTCTAAATTACCTTTCATCATATAACAAGAGGCCCATGGGCCTTAACGGTCACCTGATATATTTATACAGAGAGTTGATTTTTGTTTTTAACATGAACAGAAATATTATTCAAAGTGACAAAAAACAATAAAACCACCTTATTCAATATCTAGCGTGCAGATTTAAGACTGAAAAGTATTTGAAACTAGCACCTCTGATTCTAAACAAGGAAAATGAAGAAATTTTATTTTAGCACACAGACTCCATTGGGCCCCACCCTACAGCCCTTGGGGGTAGGGATGGCTCAAAATTTACAAAGTATCA